GCGGTCCCTGTGCTTTGCTGAGCTTGTTCGAAGTAGGTGCTTTAGACCACTGAGCCATCTCTCCAGCCCCCCCCCTTTTTTTTTTTATAATTTTTTTAATTTTTATTTATGAGAGAGAGAGAGAGTAAACTGACTTTTTGTTGTGACATTCTTTTACTTACATCATGAAGCTCTAGTCAAAGAAATTCTAAACAGAAACGCAAAAAAGGAAAAAGTAGAATACTATCCTACTTATCCCCTTCTCAGCAAGAGGTTGTTCATGGTAATAGTGTATTTTTATAGTATAAAATTCTACAAATTGATCAACATCTGATACATTCATGTTTCAATATTTAAAGCAAGTTGGTGCAAAGAAAACTATGACTGATATAAAACTGCTCATTATTTGAGACTCTCTTCCACAGGCCAGAAAATGAAGAGCTGACTCACACAGAAATATTTTTGAAATTTGATAGTTAATTATCTAAAAGTGTGATATTTTACTAGTCTTCAATTTATTAAAGACAGCATTTGGAGGGGCCGGGGAGATGGCTCAGTAGGATAAGCACTTGACTGGCAAACACAAGGATCTGAGTTCAATCCCCAGTTCTGCCAAAGAAAAAAAATGAGTTCACTTTTAAAGACACAAGAGAGAAGACAGCATTTGAAGGGGTGTCCTTTGGGAGTACCAATGTAAGCTCTTATTTTGCTGTCTCCAGTATGTACAACACCAAGAGGTTTCTAGAAGCTAGCCTAGAGAGTTGGTAGTTAACCTACGACACCTGTGCTGCAAAGAGCCCCTGCAGCCAGCCAAGCATTCAGGTTTAATTACAGTATTGGTACTTTGCAATACATGAGTTGTGGGTTGCAGTTTGGGCACTCGGTCTCTAAAAGGTTTGCTTTCAATGGGCAAATGATACCTGCAATAAACTATAGGCTTTTAAGCCATATTAAAACATATAGTAGTAAGTACGCCCACCTAACCTCCTACCATGGTGAAGCTGAAGCTATCTCTTCTATGAAGAGAACTATTGAGCTGTTGATGAATAAATAAAAGCAATTAACCACCAAAGGTGAAGAGCCTATTAACAATTCCCCTGGCCTCCCCAGAAAGGACCTGCCCAGCCCTTCACCCTGCCTGAGCTGTTTTGCCTCGAGTCCTCTGGCCCTGCCCCAGTAGGAAAAAATTAAGCTACCATATGCCAGAAAAATTTCACTAATCCCAACCCTTGTGAGATTTTAATATATAAACCTAAGAAAACAGAGATCAGATAGCAAAACTAAATGAGGAAATTATGAATTAGACTAATACCATTAAAAGTCTAATTTAGTAACTCATGTAGAACTCTGCATTTTCAGCAGAGACCACTCTTCAAATGGATTCTCATACACTATTTATAGAAAGTGACCACTTTTTTTTTTAAGTGATCACATATTAAGCCACCAAAAGAAGGGCTGGCCAAATAGCTCAGAAGATTAAAGTTAGGGAATTGATCCCTGGGCCTCCTGTGTTGGCCCCACCCCCAGGGCAAGCTGAGACAGCAATTGAGACTGGGTGAGGTGGCAACACACCTGTAATCCCAGCACTTGGGAGGCTGTAACAGGCAGATCACTACGAGTCCGATCTAGTAGCAAGACCCTGAACACCCTGTAGAACCTTCCCTAAAATACAGAAAAATAAAAAAATAAAAATAAACCGCAAAAAGAATCCCAAATTCTATAAATTTGTACTCTTTGGGGCCACTTTCTTATACCCCAATACAGAAATAACAACAGCAAAAGTAACCTCCTAGCATCACCACCAAAGATATCAAATTGCTTAGGTTAAAAAACTTCACATAAAAAATTGAACTGAAATTAGACATTTATAGAAAACACTGAAAATAAAAATAATATATATCAGAACTCAACAGAAGCTCAGTCCTCGAGGCATCGGTGCTGTGCGGTGGAGATATTTCGTTGCTTGTCGGCCTGCGTGCGCGTGCGTGGACATGGCCTCAAACGACTATACTCAACAAGTAACCCAAAGCTATGGGGCCTACCCCACCCAGCCTGGGCAGGGCTACTCCCAGCAGAGCAATCAGCCCTATGGACAGCAGAGTTACAGTGGCTATGGCCAGTCAGCAGACACTTCAAGCTATGGCCAGAGCAGCTATGATGGTTCTTATGGACAGACTCAGAACACAGGTTATGGCACACAGTCAGCTCCCCAGGGTTATGGCTCCACTGGTGGCTATGGCAGTAGCCAGAGTTCCCAGTCATCTTACGGTCAGCAGTCCTCTTATCCTGGCTATGGTCAGCAGCCAGCTCCCAGCAGCACCTCGGGAAGTTATGGTGGTAGTTCTCAGAGCAGCAGCTACGGGCAGCCCCAGAGTGGGGGCTATGGCCAACAGTCTGGCTATGGTGGACAGCAACAGAGCTACAGACAGCAGCAAAGCTCCTACAATCCCCCTCAGGGCTATGGACAGCAGAGCCAGTACAACAGCAGCAGTGGCGGTGGAGGGGGTGGTGGAGGCAATTACGGCCAAGATCAGTCCTCCATGAGTGGTGGCAGCGGTGGCTATGGCAATCAGGACCAGAGTGGTGGTGGTGGTAGCGGCTACGGGGGAGGCCAGCAGGACCGTGGGGGCCGAGGCAGGGGTGGTGGCGGTGGTTACAACCGCAGCAATGGTGGCTATGAACCCAGAGGTCGTGGAGGTGGCCGTGGAGGCAGAGGCGGCATGGGCGGAAGTGACCGAGGTGGCTTCAATAAATTTGGTGGTCCTCGGGACCAAGGATCACGTCATGATTCTGAACAGGATAATTCTGACAACAACACCATCTTTGTGCAAGGCCTGGGTGAGAATGTTACAATTGAGTCTGTAGCTGATTTCTTCAAGCAGATTGGCATTATTAAGACCAATAAGAAAACCGGACAACCCATGATTAATTTGTACACAGACAGGGAAACTGGCAAATTGAAGGGAGAAGCAACAGTTTCATTTGATGACCCTCCTTCTGCTAAAGCAGCTATTGACTGGTTTGATGGTAAAGAATTCTCTGGGAACCCTATTAAGGTCTCGTTTGCTACCCGGTGAGCAGATTTCAATCGGGGTGGTGGCAATGGCCGAGGAGGCCGAGGAAGAGGAGGACCCATGGGCCGTGGAGGTTATGGAGGTGGTGGCAGTGGTGGTGGCGGCTGGGGAGGATTCCCCAGTGGAGGTGGTGGTGGTGGAGGACAGCAGCGAGCTGGGGACTGGAAGTGTCCTAATCCTACGTGTGAGAACATGAACTTCTCTTGGAGAAATGAATGCAACCAGTGTAAGGCCCCTAAACCAGATGGCCCAGGAGGAGGTCCAGGAGGCTCCCATATGGGGGGTAACTACGGAGATGATCGCCGTGGTGGCAGAGGAGGCTATGATCGGGGCGGCTACCGGGGCCGTGGAGGGGATCGTGGGGCCTCCGAGGGGGCCGGGGTGGTGGGGACAGAGGAGGCTTTGGCCCTGGCAGGATGGATTCCAGGGGTGAGCACAGACAGGATCGCAGGGAGAGGCCGTATTAGTCTGGTTCTGAGATTCTGGAGCAACTTTGCCCCCTGTACCCAGTGTTACCCTCATTATTTTGTAACCTTCCAACTCCTGATCATCCATGGATTTTTTTTTTTGTGTCGGACTACGTAATTGTAACCATACCTCTGGTTCTCATTAAAAACCATCATTTTAGTTAAAAAAAAAAAAAAAAAGAACTCAACAGAAAAATTAGGGTTTTTTTTGTTTGTTTTGTTTTTTGTATTTTAGGGAAGGGCAGCATTTTAGGAATTGTATTCTAGGGACTGTATTTTAGGGAGGGATTGAGCCCCCAGAGGAGGCACTTTAATCCGCTGAGCTATTTGGCCAGCCCAAGTATCTTTAAATGTATTTATGATTAAAGATTGAAAGGATATAAACTAACTGAAGACCTGAAAATAAAGCAAAAATTTTGGGGAAAAGAATCAGCAAAAATAAATGTAAAACACAATAGACTTTGACTAATAAACCAAGAGTTCATTATTTAAAGGACCCAAAATACAAAATATACAACATCAGTTAAGGATAAGAGATATAATCAAACATAGTGTTTTAATTATAAAATAACACTATATATAATTAAAAATAATAAACATGTAGACTAAGGCAAAATTGATTTTCTGGAAGACAACTACCAGAAATGACACATGATAAAAAGGCAAACATGTGAATACAGCAATAATCTTTAAAGAGATAGTGATTCTAAAAATGCTCTCTTCCAAAATATACACTCTTAGACCTTCAAATTACCAAGTCAAACTTTCTACAAAAAATGGCAATCTTAGGGCCAGCCTGATAGATCAGTGGACTAAAGCACCTGCTTAGGCAGAGCACAGAGGCCAGGGTCCCATCCCTGGTGTGTCGTGCCAGCCTCTCTCACGGGGCGCGCTGACAAAGCTTGAGACTGGGCATGGTGGCGTGTAATCCTAGCACTTGAGAAGTAGAAAACAGGAGAATCACTACAAATCCCATCTACGCAGTGAGACCCTGTAGACCCTGTCCTAAATACAGGGGGGAAAAATGGCAGTCTTATCTTACACCAAATAAAATCCAGAAACCAAAATCTGATATAAAGTTGCAAAGAAAATTTACAGTTCAATTTCATTTCATTAATGTTGCAAAAATTCTAATGAATTAGTAAATAATCTACTATAGCACATCATTCAAGGAAAAAAGGAAAACTCTGAAGATAAAGGAGGTATTATTCAGAAATGTATTATGATTGATACACTATTAGTAGAGCAAATCATATATGACACTCTCAAAAAGATTCCATAAAGTATCTTTAATTCTTGCTAAACCAAGATGTTAAGAAAATGAATTTAGTTTGACTAATACATACAATTGAAAAGTATGTATTAGTCAAACTAAATACTGTTCCTAATAAACATCAAGATGTGTTATGCCACTGTAATAATTTTAAGAGATATAGTGGCAAGTCAAGACCTAAAAAATAGCTAGTTGTATGTTACATGAGTGCACAACGATGATCTGTTCATTGAGTTATTTGGAAAACTGCATCTCAATTATAAATCTCTACTTCATATGACACACATAAAAATTATAGGCAGCAAAAAGCAATTTAGCTATTAAAAATACTATAGAAAATATTTTTATAATATTGGGATAGAAAAGACTTCCTATAAAACACAAACAAAAAATGAAGAGTTGCTACTACACATATGAATTAAAAGGTATCTATGCCTTAGGAGAATATACCAAGTTCAGGGATTAGGACGATAGCAGTAAAATTATAACCTACCTTTAGCAGATAAAAATTACTATACATAACATATAAAGAACATCACAAACTAGAAAGAGAAAGAACCAATATTAAAACAGGCAAATGTAAGTAACTGATAGGAAAAGAAATTTAGAGTCACCTTGCTAGCAATCAGGAAAACAGAAATGTTGAGAGTACTATGACATTTTTCCTACCAGATGGACAAAACAATTTTTAATATCCTAATATCCAGGACAATCATCAGTGTATATAAGCATATAACTAATACAGACAGCTTTTGTTAGTATTAGTTATGAAAGTTTTCCATGTATACACTCTATAAGCCAACAATCTCAGTTTTAGGGACTATCCTATAACAGCAGTTGCTTACTATATCATAGTATCAATTTTTCTTAGTAGTTAAAAACTGCACAGCCAGGCTTGCTGCTGCATGCCTTGTAAGCTCAGCACTCGGGAGGCTGAGATAGGAAGATTGCTGCAAGTTCGAGGACAGGTGGGACTACACAGCAAGTTGAAAGCCAGGCTGAACTATGCAGCAAGACCCTGTCTCAAAACAAAAAAGATACTCCACAATTAGAGACACGTTTAAACAAATTACTGTACTTTCTTACCATGGAACATTCTGTAGACTGGAAGAAGTCATATACAGATAAGAAAATTTCAGCAAAACTACAATATCAGCACATAAAATATGATCTTTTTGATGAAATAAATAGGCATATACAGACACAAAAGCCCATGGCTACACCTGTATGCAGGTATATATATATAATATACATATTAG